CTTTCCCCACATTTTCATACCATACGTATAGTGCAGACTTAATACAAAGCAAAGATCAAACACCTGCTCATCTCTGCATATTGTTAGAGGCAAGTGAGTTACTGCTGTGATACTGAAGGCCTACTTATCCATGCAAGAATCTTCACAGCTACTGATGGGTCTTTCAAAAATGCTACTGAAAATAGTTGGGGAAGTTACTCTGGCAAAAGTAGATGTTCCAAATTGCACTTTAACCCTCAATTTGAAGATGCTGCTAAACGGAGAGCATACTTAAAAACATAGCAAGCAGCCTTATTCAAGAATTTCTAGTAGCCATAAAACAAAAGATGAATTATGAATTACCTTTAACTAAAAAAAAGCTCTTTAACAATGAAAAGAAACAGTAAAAAAAAAAACCAACCCTGTGAAAAATAAAAAGTTTCTACAAAGTATATGACAAAACCAAAAACATGAAGATAAAATAATCATGTCTTGAATCTGTCACACTCCCCAAAGCACAGTATCTCTCCCTTGACACCACCAAGTAATACAGAAGTTGTGCTCCTGTAATACCTGCTTTTCAGCCCCATGGATGAGCTACCTCCTTTTAAATTTAAAGACTACTCTAACTCTGCCTCCTACATGTCTCCTTCATCACGCTGGATTCTTTAAAGACTATCTCAGTTGAGTGGATTGTATGTTTGCGCTTGAATAGATGAAATAAGCTGATACAAGTGGCAGTAAATTATGCAAAGTTAAGCGGAGAGAGAAAACACCGTTTAATTTGGAAACATTCTTATGCCATTTTTTCTGAATGTGTGTGGCTATTTTGAACCCACAAGTCCCATCTGCACAATTGAACATGACACTTTCCGAGTACCACTATTTGCCTTCTTGCATCTCCTCGGCATACCACCCTACAGACCCCTTACTGACCGGCCCAGTGAAGGAATGCCACCCTGCTTCTCTCCACGCTCTCCCACCACAGCTGAATGCCTGTCCTTTCCCATCAGCCCTCCCCCTCCCTTTCCCAAGCTTCTGTACGTCCCCCCAGTTTTCTTTGTTCAAATCCTGTATTTACCCTAATTTACGAAGGGCTGGAGAGTGTGGGATATTCCTCCCTCAGTGGAAATCATCAAACCAAGCTGATTCAGACAGCATGATTTTAAACAGTATTACAATATTTAAAAAGATGCAGTATTATAAGTTCTGCATGAAATAGCTTATACTTCACGTTGTAAATCCATTTAAGTACAGACTAAAATGTACTGCTGACATATATGTGTCCCACTTTATGTTCCTTTTAACTATGTAATACATGACCTTACCTAAAACAAATCATATTCAAACATGATTCTAAAATTACTATTTAAGCCATTTATAAGTTGTGAATGAGCCATTTTAATTCAGTCATCCAGAGGAACAATTTAGTAGTACTATTTTCCAGGGAACAGGCAGTTATAAAGAAATAATCCAGTGTATAAGCCATCTGGTCTCTTAAAACTGATTTAAAGATGACAGGGAGAGGCGTTTAACCACGCAACTGGAAAAAAATCCCAAAAGCCACAGACCTAAATGTAGCCACCTCTCTTGACCAGCATCTTTTCTGGTTTGTGAGGATGTCTGCTCCTACTTCACTACCTCCACTACCTTTTGAGTAATTCTGCCAATATACTACAAATGTGATAGAATTGGGCTTAGAATTTTAGGAAAACCCTGAAACATTCCAAAACTCTATATGGCTCCTCACAACAATTTTTTCCTGTTCCTGGATGAGCTAGAAAGGTAATTTGTGTTCTACAAGCACTGAAATTATTCCTCAATATTTAAACAATGTTAACTACACTCCACACAATCTTTTTTGGCAAGAAGTGCTACATAAGAGTCCAGTGTACCACTCTGGAAACACACAATATGCCCATCAGTGAATTAAAAAAAAAAATCTAATTAATTTTTAAAAAGCTGCCAAAATGAACAGTAAGTTTGTGTAGTTCACTAGAAAGCATTTGCAGAAAGGGAAGTCAAATGGAATTAATTTACGTAAGCTGTACAAGCAGCAGTGGCTAAGAATGTAGTATACTAAGAAAAGCAATTTTGCTTTTTGTTTTTGCAAATTATTTAAATAGGAAAACCTTAAATATTTTCAAAACAGATGATTAATTAGATTTCTGGGAAAGATTAACAGCCAAGCTTTTAAAATGCAGAACATACACAGTATAGATTTAACTGAGATATGTTTCACATTTATTTGAGGAAAGCAAGATTTGAGAGAACCTGACAATGAGATGAAGTTGCTAAAAACCAACAAGCTTCAAAACCCTAATAATACAGTTCTAAGAACATTTTCAGAAAATGTAACAAGTAGCAGTATGTACTTTAATTTCTCCAATATTTTTAATCCCTCTTTTCCCCTGGTGGCAGGAAGAAAAGCCTTCATCTGCTATAGATGACAACAAGGTTTCTTGTAAGTGAATCCAATGAAGCACATAAAGAAGTAACAGAAGCAGTAGATGCTGAAAGGAAAATCACAGACTATATGAGAAAAAGCTGTGCAGCTGAAACTCCTACAGTCAGTCTAGAGCTGCTACCAAAATAACACCTACAATCTCCCACATGAAATACATAAGGGAACAGAGAGTACAATGAAACAACCAAAGAGCAGACAGCATATAATTGGTACAAAATGTCTAGTTTTCTCATTGTAAAAGACAGCATGTAAAGAAATAGGGCTTATACAGTGAGTTGCAGTTTCACCTCACTAACCAGTTCTCATCATTAATCCAGCATTACCTTGCTGAGAAGAAATATTTCTTTTATGTAAAGATGACATACTTCTGCTATGCTGGGACTGGTGGAAAGGATAGGCTTTGCTTCTTTCAGGAGAGTAGCTCCTGCTGCTGACACTAGAGCCAGATCTGCTGTGCGGAGAATCCCTTCGGCTTCCTGGCGATTCCCTGAAGAAAGGAGAGTCCCTCTTATGAGGGGATCGCTCTCTCATATAATGAGAGGGATAGAAGCTTTTTCTTCTGAAGCCATCTCTGACGTCCCTTTGAAGACAACAGAAAAAATAAGTTACTTGGTTATCCTTCCAATGTTTGTGGAACAGCACTAGATAATACAATGGCAATATTTTGTGTCTGGTAAATACAAATAGGTTAGCTGTCATCTGCAGAACATGTCTGAAATCTTCAGCATTGTTAGAGTACTAGACAATAAATGAAAAACAAGTAGGAAAGTAGAAAAAATATGTATACATATGTAATTTTTTTCAGATTTCATTCAATGACTTCAGCGCTAGAAGCTAATTCCTTTCTATTTCTAGATAATACAGTTAAAATATGGGAGAAAAAGACATTCAAGAAATTGGGACTCTCACATTTTGTTTCTTCAGATTCACTCCACACTCCACTTCACCTGTAAATTAAGCCTTAATTTACAATAGCTAAAAATGCAAATATTGCTCACATTATTTGGCTGTTTTTCAACTCTATTTTTCTCTTACCCTTACTTTCAAGGGACTATGTCCCTCATCTGATTTCAACACACCTTCCTATGGGAAATATCATTGAGGGATTTCAGTTTATATCCAGAAAGGACAAAAAGAAAACTGCAGACAATCTATCCTCATGCCTATGTATCCACCCAAAGTCAAACCCTGAATGAAAATAAGATTTATACCTACTAAAAAGTCTATGTCTTTCACAATACGGAATATTCATTTTGAACTTTACTGTAAAATGCCACAGACACACTCAGTATTACATGAAACCCAACTGATTTGAAACCATAATCTAGTAAGCACCAAAACTTTCTACTAGATTTATATATTGTTACTCCAGACCATACCCCAAATGTCCTGGCTACCTGCAAATTATATTAATATACGTGTAAAGGTCAAAAAAAAAAAAAAAAAACAACCAAACCCAAACAAACAAAACAAAAAAAACCCACAGTAACAAATCGAACTTTTCGTAAAGAATCTCAAAGCTAACAAACATGCAAGTGAACACTCACTGAATCTAGACTTGTGACATTTGCCTTGGTCGAAAGACACGTTGCTAAGAGAAGCAAGTACTTCTCAGCTCCTCCACAGCATTGCTAAATAAAAATAAAGACTTCATAGCATTTATAGTAAGTTAAAATGTACCTCATTTCACTGCTTTTCTCTCCTATTTCTCATCATAGTCCAATATTTTAAATAAGGGAAAGTCTCACAAAGACAAGCAAAGATCTGGTGGTCTCATTTAGCACAATGTAGCTATAGCTAATTTTATGTTGGTGGAGAAAAGGAAAAAAGCCCCCTAGTGTACAATTCCTATAGCATGTTACAGGCCCACATTTGTGAAGGGTAACAAAGGACTTCAGTGTGCCAAAGGTGTTTTGGACTACTGAAACTACACAGGTAGCGCCACAGTAATACAAACCCTATTACACTGATGTGTTTTATACGGCGCTGATTTACTTTTTGCATGGAAAACACATCTGCATGAGTGGTTCTGCTTCAGAGCGCAAACATCCCACAAGCAACATTGAGATTATTCTGCAACAGAAAATCATCGGGGCAGGGGCACAGCCAGTAAAAATACAGACAACCCTTCAGCTTATTTCTCCAATTCCAGATGGAATAAAGTATCAGGAAAATAAACCAAATCTGTATTTTGAAAAATTTCATACGAAATTAAAGTAAGAATCAATAGTTCTCAGCCACCCTGGTTTTCAATAAAACACCAGTGAAGAAAAGCCAGGTTTTACAGTTAAATAATTATATTTCACTGTTAACAGACCACAGGCCTTTTATAGGTACCTTATCTTACAGAAAAGTGTATTTTACAGGTCTGCATACCAAAACTGATAGAAGACAATGTTACACGGATTTATAGCTAACAAGTGTGCTAAAAATGAATATTCGTTTCCTTTCTAAACATGTTTTCTTCTTCTGTTTATTGCGACACTTTTCCCCAGGCGAGCCAGCAAAGAAAACAATTACAGAATTGTTAAATAGTACTCTATTTAATAGCCTCTATACAGTAGCCATTGTATAGATACTTACATCAAAGAATGAAGCACCCCAGAATACACAGAAGGATAATCCTCCTGCTTTCTTCAAAGGCCTAAGTGCAATGTCCCCAGCTTTGGACGCTACTCTTTAGGAAATGTGTAGATTAACAGGAGACTTCCCAGAAAGAAATAACTGAAACTATCAGACTGAGAAAGCACATTTAGTGGAGAAACACTCAAACCCCTTTGTCCACTTAAATTTAGCAAAAAGAAATCTAAAAAAGCCAGGCGAGTTCTCAAACCTATGGGATGCAGCTGAAAGTAGGGAACTAATGTTTCATTTACATTACATGTATGAACGTCTCACATAGCAAGACTTAAAGCAAAAGTTCAGACTTTAAATATACTAGAAAGATTAGCTCAGCACTGAACTAGTTTGCCTAGTTAAGTGGGTTTTTTTAATTAATTAAAGAACATATTGATCAAATATTTATCAGGAATGAGTTAGGTACAGCACATGTTTTCTTCAGTTTCCTTCTAAATCTCTCTCTTTAAATAATCTTATTTATTTTTAAAGCACAAGCTTTCTGGCAGACCAGTACACCACCTTTATACCCAAAGCACATTTTTATGAGCAAGTTATTAAGCCCTAGTATACAGAGAAGTTTATTATGGAAATGTTTACAGAGTCCCAGCTATAGCACATATACAATAAGTGCTCTAATATCCACACAAGAATTTACAAAATATCATTGAAACACACTTTTAAATAGGAAAACATTTAAAAGCCTCATTCTGCAATAATATTATGCACAAAAAAAGTAGAATCTCACTTTCATTTTTTAAATTTTCATTTCATCACTCCATGTTAATTCTTAACTGGACCCTATCTCATACTGAACACTCAAGCCATTAACTCTATTAAATCTGGTTTGGACAGCATAGCAACAGCACAGCATTTCTGATGTTTTCCATTAATGTCACAAACTACACTGAACAGAACAAAATAAGCATTGTTTTACTTCCGCGCCCCCCCCCCCCCTTAAATACTTAAGCTAACATACACCTGCAATTTGGTAATGAAGGCCCCAATTCAGCAAAGCAGTTAAGCACATGCTTCAGATTCCAACACATACTCAAAAGGTTTATTGAGCAGGAACAATATTTAATAGATTCAAAATTTTGTGTTTTGCTGTAACTTTAAAATAGAACTACTGCCCTTAACAACAAATACAAGTTTAATCCCTTTTATATAGGATCTCTCTTATCTTTATACTTTGTATTCACATCTCACTTAGTCCTGAAAGTTCTCTCAACAGTGTTGCAACAGGAAGTATTAGCATTTTTAACCTCCATGAAACTTGGCCATTAAACTCTCACTAAAGCTGATAATCTTGGATGAGCTCCTGAAATTTTATAAGTAAACAGCCATACCCCGATATACCACCCACCAAGGGCAGCTTAGGGAAGAGCACAAGCCTGAGAGTTATTTCAGTTAACCATCTATTCCAGTTTCCTGGACGAAAAAACCAAACGCAGAATAGGCAAAGGTACGGCTTTCTGCATAGCAGGAGACCAAGGGAATACAACACAGGGGAGATTTGCTGTTGCCACAGGATCAGAGACACCACCTTTCCTCAGCTACCACTACCACACCGAGCACTTCTGGTCTCATCCCTCCCTACCATTTTAAGCCCAGCAAAGCATTCAGCAGCAGTGTTGTGGGAAACTGAGGACCACAGGAAGCCTTCTGGTTTACGAAAGGGAGCAGTACAGGTTAAGCTATGTGAAACCAAAGACTAACATGAACTGGTGCATCAGTTTTATATTTTAAGAGTACATAAAGGCAAAATTCAATCATCTGCTAGATGTGAAATGCCTGGAATGGAGGTGTACTTGGGTACATGAAAGCACATCACATGCAATACAGGAAAAAGTTTTGTTTATAAGAGGAATCTTAGTTCGCTCTCTTGAATTCATGCTACTGGGCAACTGTGTACAATTCATGCTTACTATTCTCTTGGACTTCTACATCCTAATACATCTCTTCAACTAAAACATTACTCTACGATGTGGTCCAGCCACAGAGGACATAACACACACTTTTGACACTGCATTGAAGAGACTGGCAACTCAATAGTATATCACTGTGGAGCAGAAACTGTGGGTTCTTTCAGTAACTCATAGGTGAGTGCAGTCTATCACCTAGATAAAAAGTCAGAGAAGTTTATGTGACCCCTTCCATCTGAGAAAGACTATTGCTATCGTCAAAGGGGTTAGTCATTCCATTTATATGCTTGGGCTTGATTACTTACCTTGCCTAAAAGTAACTCACACAGTTTTATAAATAAATTGAGGAAATTATACATGTCTCCTAAGGCACCAGACTTCAGTGCAAAGAGATAAAACAGACAAGATTTGAACCACGCTTCTTAGCTCAATACACTTTCTCTGTATTATAATACACAGGCAAGGGAAAAGGGGAAGAAGAGTGCAACAAAACCAAAAACTCCTCCTGACTTCCTTGTCAGGACACTGCAGGGGCTAATAGAGCTACCAACGTGATTCAGATTATGTGGAAAACATCTAATAAAATACAGTACCCCCCAAAGTTTCTCAAAAGATTTGCTGTGTTATACATCCAAAAAGCAAACACAAAGGAGTCAAGAACACCTCTACTTTTAACATCTTCAAAGTAAATGTAGGTGGTAGAAGATTCCAGCCACCATCCTCTCTCCCAGAACTCATTCCCTTTCTTCCCAAAGTACGCAGTACACGTTTGTGCAACAAACCAACGATTTACTTTAGCTCTGCTTTAGAGACTTAATATAATTTCTCATTATTGTCCAAAGATCTTTATGCTGATTTATCATAAGCTAAAACAATACCGTGAATTACACTGTTGTAGATGTAATTGCATCTGGTTCCATTGGCTTTCATTTGAACATTTGAAATGATGACAGATTTCTTACGACAACTGGTTTTCAATGTTTTATGACTAAGCAAGTAACTGCAGTACTCGTAAGTGACATCTGCATCTGCTTTAAAT